TGTTCCTGGGGCCTCTTTAATCTGCCTCTCCCATGCAGTTTTAGATAATAAAGATCGGCCGTTCCACGTCCGCTTTCACGCCGTCGTGAATACAGCCCAAAATTAATCATAACAACGAGAGTGGGGTGGACGACGTGTAAGTACGTGGGACGTTGACTTGTTTTACTATGTTTGAAAGGAGAACTCGATCCTGAGGGACCTAAGTTTCCATGATGTGCATTGGTCGCAGTCGGGAAATCCGATCATGTAAATGGGTCAAGGTGTCAGAACAGCAAGTAGGGCTATAAGAGATGGCTATGGAGATTGGGACGAATAGAGAAAAAAGAACAACTTTCAGAGAGGCAGTCGTTATGATTTATTGACGGATTAATACCGGGACTATTACTTACCAGACCTGGGCGAGTGTGAACATTTCAAAAACACCCCACTTAAACGGGTATAGGAGGAAATGCGAAATCCGTACAGCGTTAGTCTAATGCCTGGTTGATTTGATTCCTAAATTAACGATCGTTTTAAGAACCTATTGCTGTTGCCAAAGCACCTGCAAATACATTACCAGCCAAGAAACAAACTCAGCCAACAACACTGGTTGAGCATTTCAAGTTTTTCAGTGGAAATATTGGTGAAAAACTTTCTTCATTTTTCACACTATTTTCACTGAAAAAGTCTGTGAACAATTCAAAACTTTTTCAGTACTTTTTAATGTCAAGCTGAAAATTTTGAAATAAAATAAAAAAAGTCCTGAAAAAGCTATATATTTTTCACATCCTTTACCAGCGAAAAAAGTGTGAAAAATAAAGAAAGTTTCTTACCATTATTTTCACTGAAAACCTTGAAATGCTCAACCAGTGCAACCAGCGCTCAATCGCTTGTGCCCCCGCACCAGACCCCCGTCCACGACAATGGCTCTGAGGCCGCCTTGAACCGGGCAGCCTTGGCGAGGACCAGCAGCGCTGTTGTGGGTTACGATGCTTTGCAGGGGAAGCACGATGCACTGATAGACGAATTTCATATTCTCCACGCAGCGAGCATCACTCGGGAGCAGCGGGTCGAGGAGATGCGCAGGGCCAGTGAGGCCAGCGAAGTCAAGTGCCCAATTTATACAGTGTTGAGTCGATTGTTAGAACTCCCATCAGATCTTGCCCATTTGGATCACTGTTCGGCACCCAACGCTAGCCAAGGTTTGAATGCGGGCGGTCCTCATCGGCGCAGCTCTGCATGCTGTACTTGTGTTTCTCCCTCCAGATATTCCAGAAATCAAAGAAGTAAATTTCACTGTAAATCACGAGGAACAAAATGAGAAACATCCCAAACCGGGAAGATTCCGGACACTCCGAGCCCAACCAAAACCTTTGGAGGCATTCGCGGCCCCAAAATTTCACCACCTATATTCTCTCATTTTTTCTCTGTTAGGCATGATTTTAATGCCCAAATTTGGTGCACTGGATGTGGATATTATGTTGCTTCTTAGGTTCCTTGTCCGTTTCCCTCCGAAAATAGCGCGAAAGAAATGACAAGAGGTCACTTGGAGCCTACCAACTATAAGAGAGAAAAAATAGACCCGCTGGATGAGAGACATTCGATCAAACGGGTATTCTGCATTCACAATTTACTAACACCTCCAGGCTCCTTCCGTGAAATAATTTACTTGGGACCCCGTGTGCTACGCTATCGGTCTTATCCCCATAAATATTCATTTTCAGGGAAAGCCCTCCATAGCAAGTTATTCACGATTCTACGAGAGTTTGACTTTTCACATGCCGATAGAGGGCTCATTACCTTTTACAACTCGGGTGACTTATAAAACTTCGTCTATCTCACTCAGAGCAGGAACTTGTCAATTTCCGGCGCGAAGCTAAACATCGGTTAGAGAGGCCGACAGACCTCGGCGCACATCACTCAAACCTTGCGAATTGATCGGAGATCTAACACTTCACTACACACTGCGATTTATAGGTTCAGTCGCGAAAACATCTAAGCGACCGAGGCCCGATAACCATATATGACGTTTGGGGAGGTGCAGCGTTCAGTGTCGAGTCGCTTGGTACATCTCCCATCAAATCTTCCCGCATATGGATTTCATTTCCGCTGTTCGGCTCTCTTCTCCGAAACCTCCTCAGTGCGCATTGGCCCACGATTGACCCACTTCAGGTGAACTAGACAAGCTCCCATCATGAAAAAAAAGGCTTTTCCCCCTGATGCTTTCAGAATACGGAAGGAGAGAGAAACCCATGTAGTGGAAAGCACAAGCACAGTGAACTGCTTTTAATACTGAGAATAAATGAAGAAACCTCCATACTTACAGTAGAAAATCGCTTTGCCGGCCACGACAAATGAAGCGTTAATCAGTGTTTGTCTAGGACTCGGAGAGACTAAAAGGCGCCCCAACTTGAACTTCGGTGACATACTTTGTACACCTAATGTACACCATTTTTTGTGGCCTCCGGATGTTGGATTCATCCGGACCAAGGCGCTTAATTTCCGTCTGACTTGCAGTGTAGGAACAAATTTTGAGCTGTTTTTGAACATATATTTGGCAGACCGCCCGGCGGCAAATATCCGAATGAGGCTGTGGCTGTGGTCGGCAGACGGCGGCACCCTGTCATTTGCCCTTCCGAGATGATCGGAGATATACCAATCGGACTCGGCAGGCGCCGAGTGCGCAGAACATGCAGTCCATATCGCGCTCGTTGGGCGTCGCGGGAGTGTCACGTGCATGGTACAGGCCGCGTATCATATTGCGCAGAGGGGGTCGATAGCTTGCAGTCTGTCCGGGACGACCAGTGGCGCGAGATTCGACGCGAGGAGTGACAGTCCACGTGACATTACGTCCCATCTCGAACCCCTTTCGACTTGGTGCATTTTAATCATTCTTGCGCTGCCCAGCGATTTGCTCAAATTTCGTAAAGTCGCACCAGAATTCGGCCTTAGTGCATTTTTGCATTTTCTTTGAACTGACTGGACCGGCGGGTAGTGTAACATTCGCGCAGGCTGGCCCTTTGCTGCGCTCAAAGACAGTTGTGAAAATTGCCGTCGGGTGGCGGGCCCCCACTTCGCTGCGCTCAAACACACTTGGTCAAATCCGTACAGGCCGACCCTTTTCTGCGCTCAAATACAGCGGCTAAAATTGGGGTTGAGTGGCGGACGCCCACTTCATTGTGCTCGAATACACCTGGTAAAATTCGTGCAGAGTGGCAGGCCCCCACTTCACTGCGCTCAAACACACTTGGTCAAATTCGTGCAGGTTGACGCTTCACTGCCCTCAAATACACCTGGTAAAATTCGCGTAGTTGCTATTAGGCTCTCAAATGGTGTTTTTTCCGCAACACTACATTCAAATTCCGACTTGGTGCATTTTGGCAATTATGTTGTCTGTCGAGTGAGTGCTCGGAATTCGGTAAAGTCAAACTCAAATTCGTGCTCAGATACAGTTGGTAAATTCACAATTGGGTGACCCGCCCAACCAAACACCCTTGATAATTTCATTTCATGTTGGTTGACCCCCGGTCAAAAACAGTTTGGAGGGCCGCCCGCACTTTGCCGCTTAAACACAGTTGATTAATTTGTATTGGTTGATCCTGCTTTGTTCCGCTCAAAAACAGAAGATGGAGAGGCAGTCAATGGACTGGAATGAGAATAGGGAATCGCAGCTGGCCCCGATGAACACGCTGTGGGTGCGGGCCGGAGTGGTTCATAGGGAGGCTGGGGCGTGGTACAAGACGTCCGGCGACGACGTCGGGCAGCACGCGCCATACGAGGGGTGCTGTACGGGGATTGCTCTTCAAACAATGCAGCACGGGCTCGTCAAGAATCTAGTACGAGGCCAGCCGCGTTGGAAAGTCTGGGGAGGAGTTAAAGTGCCCACACCAGCAATGGTGTAACGAGTACACATTCCCATACCTATTTCTTCCCCTTATTTCCTATTCCCCACCACGACGCTCATTTCCTTTCCCAATCATCCCTGTCGCTATGTGATCGCTCCACATTCCTTAATCTAGTCTCATTCGATCACACTTAGTTACCGTATAAATACCTTGTTTGTTTGTAGTAGGACTTCAGTCAATTTACCACCTACACAACTTCTCTCTCGTCGGATCGACTACCCGACATCTACTAGCTTTTGAACCAACCTCTGTGCCGAGACTAGCCGACGACTTACCAGCCGCCAGCTCCTCGTCACAAATGGGGTCGCCATCCATTCTGTAGTACAGAACGGCATGGCAACCTAATGTTCAACCAATCACCCGTTCAAGCCGCACTTAAGAAGGCGGAGTCGTTTCACGTCTCCTTCCTTTTGCCCCCACTGCTTGATTCACGCCGTTCTGCCCCAGATGCACCGCAGTGCTGGATTCCAGGACGAGTACCGTGGGTCCCCAGATGAGTATACAGTGTCCCAGCGCTCCAACGAGACCCGACTGGCAGCTCACATCCCTCTGTCCAGCGGCGCGGGTTACTTGCTTTCGATCTATGGTGTGGACCAGACATCTGTAAGGGTACAAGATGGGAAGTAGCAGCAAAACCCTGATACTATAACATCCAGGAACCGCACCGACTAGCAACCTTTCGGCGACTTGTTTGCCATCATTTGTGTCTTTCCTTTACTACTCATGATAACAGGGATCTCACACCCCTTCAGGAGGAAGGTATCCAAGACATCTACAAAGGCCAACTAAAAGCGGTGCAAAAAAGGAAATTTGTAGGGGATGTTGAGCTTGTGTTGAATATAGGAGAGATAACACATATGCGGACCTTCTCCTTGGAAAGGTGGGTGCGGGGATTGAACACAGGACCTTTTGGGATCGTGAATATGTTCAATGAGAGTTTAAACGGAATAACACATATGTGGACCTTCTCCGTAGAAAGGCGGGCGTGTGGATTGAACACAGGATCTTTCGGGCTTGTATATATGTTCAATAAGAGTCCGAACGGACTGGGAAGATACTAGGAGCAAAAAAACGTGCTGGCCTCCTCCTCTTCGCCGTGGGCAAAGCAAAAAGAACTGAGCACCGCAGGACTCGAACCTGCAACCTTTTGGTACATATTCTACGTAATACGCTTACGTCAGCATCGAAGCCAAACACGCTAGCCATTGCGCCAGGCACCCGTTAATGCCTGACGTGAAGTGAAGCTCAGGATAGCTAGGGGGGGATTTTCTGTGGGTTTTTTGAATTTCCAGAGATTTTTCCAACTTGCACTCCATAGATACGAAAAGAGGGGACGGGGCAACAAACTGGCAGGCCTGTGTGATGCCGAGTCTTTAGGGGAAAACAACATGACACCACCTGCAACTATTACGCTATGAGACTTCAATTGTGGTTGAGATGAGTTGAGCAAGTCAGAACAAGTTAGAATGAGTCAGTATGAGTCATGAAAAAATAGTATGCAGGGTGAAAAGGCCCCAGTACACAAACACCCCACTTGTAGTTGGTACTAAAAAAACCTCCTTTGCTTACTAATTAGATCACTTGAGTTTCTAAGTGCTCTTAAGTACTTGTACTCAGTAATCAGACCTCAGCAGACAAGATCTCTGTGCTCACAACAAGCTATCACTGCATGACTGGGCTTAAAATTAAATTAAGTTGCACCACCTGTAACTCAAGGCATTACGAGAGATCACGGACAGGGAACAAACCGAAATGGTAAAGTGTACACAATTGTGTATGACCATATCTGACCCGCCCAATAGGTTGGTGCTGTATGTGAATCTTGGTTTGCTACACACGACTGTCCAGAGGTGCCGGGGGCTCTATGTGCCCAATTTCTGTTTATTCTACTTGTACTCCGACATTGATTTCCTTTTGTTGCACAGGTTGGCCTCCCTGTCGGTCCAGATGTGGAGCTGCCTGCTGATATGATTCCCAGGCATATTCATGGTATGTGGGTCAGTTTGCAGCGTATGGATAAGACTAGTGGAAAGGGGAACCAGAAGGTATGTCTTTCAGGGCTTTTACTCATCTCTAACTCGGAACCAGTTCTACAGTAGGAGGAGCACGTTCTACGATATTAGAGACCATTGGGATTTCATCTGTGGTGAGTCTTATGTATGCGACAGGGTGGTAGGTGGATGTGAGTTTTGTTGATTCTTAGCAATGTACTGGGTGATCTGTGTTGAAATGGGCATTGATCCTCCCCCTGCGTTGTTCTCGGGTCGGCTCCGGTTCCGGGTGCTCCTGATCACAGGCGCGGTGCAGAGGGGCTGCAAGCCGCACCTTTTCTGCGTCTACGACCGGGGTCGGAGACAATCGCCTCTTGCTCTTTCTTGCAGCATGGAACTCTATCGAATGCAGAACACTGGCCGCTTCACTTTGGCAAACACGAATTATGGCAAAGGCTTCGTGGAAACAAGGGACAGAATAGAGAGTCTGTTTTCAGGAAGACGGGGATGGTCTGCTGGTGTGGCTTCGCTGCCCAACTCAGAAGACTTGCGCTGTTCAAATGTTGTATTTCAAACAAATCAGACATTGTGACACATTTTGACTTCCGCCATGGTGAACTGGTACGTTGGGTTGCCGCATGCATGGAGGTCACTTCTCCCTCGCAATATCCAGGACGGCATTATCCAAAAGTCTTGGTTTACCAAATCGACAGATCCAACGAGACATCCCGAAGAAGCAGGGCTATTTCTTCGTGGGTGCCTTTATGATTGGTTTGCAGCGTCGATCAACGGTCCTTCATATTTTCTCAGACCTACACCATGTTTGCTCTGTAGTAATCGGTGCTGCAGAGTGATATGATGCCCGCCCGAGGAATTTGATACACGTGCGACGTCAGTGCGTCAGGATGTATGGTGTACCGTCACAGGCGCGCGAGGGAGCATCCGAGCTATTAGTTCAGACGCTAATTTCATTACTCTTTTGCGACGTCGGCGATCGCACTCGCCAATTTAAATAATCGGCTCCGCCGACCCCGTTACATACTTCTGCTGTCAGCCATGAGATGCATATGGAGCCTGGGCCTTCATTTCAAGTCCTTGGGAGCCGTGGTGGCCCGTATAAGAAGGGTGAATCAATAGGGGTCTTCGTCATGTCAACCGAATTTCTCCACTGGCCCCTAGTCACACCCCCTCCTTCCCTAGCCCGAGTGAAATATTTCCATGATTTCATCCCAACTCAAGACAGGTCGCGTTCCTGCGGCTCATTGTTTTCGTTCAAGGACATGGCAGACGGCAGCGGCACGGATACTATGCATCGGTCACAGGGCTTGAGGCAATACACAGGTTAGCTATTTGGCGAGATCAACTTCGCTGGTGTTCTCGTATGTGTCTATATCCCACTCGCTATTTTCCCTCCCCCAAGTCAGGAAAACGAGAAGGGACTCTGCGTCAGACTCTGTTGCCCTCTGGATACCACATGCTCGGCTGAGGCTAACCAAATTAAGGTCTTGCACGAGATAATCAGTGTAGAAGAGGAATTGGAGGTGGGTGGTCTCTCGCTTCTGCTTAACAATTATTTACTGTACTGTCCGGCAGGGCGGTATGCTCTTGGAAAGGTGGTTCGGATCTGCTTTTAACACCCGAGTGGAGACAAAAAGAAAATACTTTCTGGGTGCGCCGTTCAAACTTCTGAATGGTATTAGTTACTTACATTTTGCTGATCCAGCTCCACGTCATGCCACAATCACCGGGGATCTACAACATCCTAGCTAAGACCTTTAAAGCCGAGTGCGTCATCTAGTGCACGGCGACGCTACAACGGGCCGATATCCCAAACCATTCTACCATGATCGAACGGGTTCGTGTGCAATCTTTACTTTGCAGAACTTCCTGACTCCCACTCCAGTCTTACGCCCTTCTGAGCTCTACTCTCCTGATCTCCCTGCTGGGAGATGTTCCCTGCAAGGGGTTGGGCTATATATGTGATGTAGTTGACGGGGAATGTACGTCGTGTGTTTAAAATGAATACGGCCAGGGGTTTAAGGTGCGAAGGGAAAGCTAAGAGCTGGGTAGGCGGAAGATAGATAGCGGCCCCTGCCGCAAAGCGGGCTACCTAGATTATATAGTAAATGCAATGTAGAGGAGTACAGGTTTAATGCGCCAAGGTGCGCCGGCGCGCGATCGCACCAGTCATGTGGGATGTCTTGGTGCCAATACCCGAGGCATTTAGGGTGGTCATTATGCGCTTTCATGAGACAAGGCCAGGGACTGGACACACTCATTCCAGGTGTGGGAGTGTGGAGGACTAGATTGGGGCCTTGCATCAAAGAATCTACAGCAATGAACCATCGGAGAGACACAGATCAGACACCACCTGAAATCAGAGCGCAAACATCTGCGAGATCACAGCTATCTCTGCTTGATCGCTGTGCCATCCTGTTACAGAATGTCCTAGGCTTTCCAGAACATCCCTGACAGTGTATAGACTATCTAGTTGATATCCACTGCATTTCTTGACTAGGTATCCTATGATGTCTCTTCGTTGGCCACCAGATTTGACCGACTCATGTAGGGTTCTAAGGATATAAAAATACTGGACCTCTACCTCTACCCCCCAACCCTTACCCCTTACAGAGGCACAGTCGAAGTTGTCTTACCTCATATCTGCCATAACCAATAATCTGTAAAACCCCATACCTTTTGGTGTCCGCCGAGTTGGTTCCCACTAAAACATGTGGAAACCCCCCAACTCTCCAATACCCTATAACCCATACATTTGTGGGAAAGGTGCTTGAAGGGCTGTCTACGCAGCGAGGCTGGATGCGGTGCCGGCGCAATCAAGCTGGATACACTGTCGGATTAACGGGTCAGAATACGACGTTTGCGCGTGGACACCGGATGCATTGACCCAAGACGGTCGCTGTGAATTGAGGCTGAATACCCCTCTTGGGGAAAGGTGCTCGAAGGGCTGGCTGCGGAGTAAGGCTGAATGTGGTGCCTGCGTAATTAAGCTGGATACACTGGTACTGTCGGATCATCGGGTCAGAATCCAGCGTCTGCGCGTGGACACTGGATGGGGGCTGGATACACTCCCCGGGGAAAGGTCCTCGAAAGGCTGTCTGCTTAGTGAGGCTGGAGACGGTGCCTGGGGAATGGGGCTGGAGATACTGTCTGAGTGAGGATGTGGTGTCTGATTCAGAATGTAAATCTCTGCTGGATGACATGCCCTGGGAAATCGTCTAGAGACGGTGTCTGCGCGCGAGGGCTGGTTGAAGTCCCTGGGGAATGGAACTGGAGACAGTTCCTGGGAAATGGTGTCTGCGCGTTAATGCTGAATCTGCTGAATAAAACGCCCGTGCAAGGCCTGGGGATCGTGTCTGCGCGTCGGGGCTGAATGAAGTGCGTTGCGACCGGGAAAAGGTCCGGGGAGAGGGTCTAATGACAGTGTCCGAATATCGCTCCTGGATAGAAGGGTGGGGGGGCAGTGCCTGAGCGCTTCGCTGTATCCGTGGTCGTTTCCTGGCAGGATTGCTGATTCAGAACATCGGGGGGCAGGGACGAAATGGACAGAATTGGATTAAAAGAGATAGGTATAGTTGATTATGTAGCAGTGCTGCGCTGACGGGAATATCGCTTGACGGACAGAGCACCGGGTGTAGATGTGGACGCGGATGGAAAGTCACATTTGAATGACGGGGTCGGGTTGTGGATGAAGCCTAGCGGGAGATTTCTGCGATGAAAGAGCCGACTGAAACGAGCCAAGAAGCCTGAAGGAAGACGCGAGCAGTGGTGGTAGAGCGTAGACGGCGGGTTCGTGGCGGTCACCGGTTGTCGCAGAAAGCGCGGGGTTACTTGCATACTACGAGGGCGCACGAAAATAAGTCGCACTCAAATTCGGCCTTAGTGCATTTTCTTCATTTTCGGCTCGCTGCCCGACGGTTCGCTGGGCTCAGATACACGTAATAAATTCACGTTGGTTGACCCGCCCAACCAAACACACTTGGTAAAATTCATCTTGGTTGAGCCACCCTTCGCTCCGCTCAAATACAGTTGAGAGGGCCGCCCGTACTTTGCTGCACTCAAGCACAGTTGGTCAATTCGTGTTGGTTGATCCTGCTTCGCTCCGCTGAAAAACAGGGGTAGTTGTGGTACTAGTACGGCTGTTGGTCATCGTAATTGGGATGACTCGACGTACGAGGTCCAGTGTGTGCCTGAGTAACGGGTGAAGATGC